TGTTTCATTGCTAGTAGGGCTTGAGTGACCTTGAATTTTTCAAGTCTTCGAGCTTGTGGGTCAGGGAGAATAAATGGAGGAGGTGGAGGTAGAGAAGTATGATTTCCATGAGATTTGGGAAGATCACAGTTGTCTAAACCAGACATCTACAATGGGAGATATTCAAGTTAGTTGATTTTAAGTCCTTAATATAACACCCAATATGAAATATTAAGGCTAGGACCCAACACAATATTTTATAACTTGGAAGAGGGATGCCGTAATCCAAGCTATAAAATATTTGAAGGTAGGTGAATGACGATTCACCAATTTCCACCATGAAAAACGAAATAAATTATTAAGTTTTAATTGGATTTGAAACTCCTAGATCTTTTGAGATTCATTGAACTTTCAATGGCATGTTTCAATCTCGATTGTGCCCTTCAGGTTTTGTGACTGGGATGCCGAGGATCACAAAACAAGGTGTGAATAACCATGCAAACTCACTTGGTACCCTTAATATTATCACCTAATCGATGTGCCGGTTAACCACACACGCTCCACCGATCTATGATAAACATTAAGTCACCCTTCGTGATCCTTACTAGTCCAAGTTAGTGTGCCGGTTAACCACACACGCTCCACCAACGACTTGGTAAGGTACAAAGTGTGAATTTCATGGGTTAGCACCATATTCACATTTTCCTAAAGTAACTAAGATTGGGAATTTATAAAAGGTTTAGTTACTTTATAATATTCATTATACTTTTAATGAGAATTTAAAGTCATTGTCCTACCCGTTCGGCTAACGACCCTCCACCGATCAAGGAAGCGGGGGGTGAGAATGGACACCCATTAAGTTGCCATTTTATAGGCAACAACCTTATACCCCCCTTATAGACTGGCTTCGTGAATGAGGCCTACTAACGGTAAAACGACTTGATCTTATACATATATATATATATATATATATATAATAATTAACCATTAATGTTATAAATAGTATAAGGGTTGAATTTTAACTTTTAAAACTCTAAGGGTTGGAATTAAAGTATATTAAAGTGTATGTAACTTTACAAATTCCAAAACTTGAGGGCAAGTTTTGAAACTTTTCAAAACTTTTCATTTCATAACTTATGAGTTAATGGTTCATAAAAATGAAGACTCTTCATTTTTATGTAACTTATGTGTTTAAATGTGTGTTTAAAAGAAAGTGACCTTTGGATATCCATAACTTGAGGACAAATTATAGACTCCATTAAAACACATAAATGATCAAGAATTAATGATAAACAATTCAGCAAATAATTCCTATCATTTTTCTAAACTCATAAGAACATGAACATGATCATCAAGATTTCAAGAATTATATGAGCACATAAAATCATGGAATTTTGATATAAGCCATTGTAAATGGATTAGCATAAACATTACACCATCTAAAACAAGTTTTAAAACACCAAAACAGTTTAGGGTAATGTTTCTAGTCCATTTCCAGCAACAAAAGTCGAAAATCTGCTGTCAGTTCATTCTACTCGTCGAGTGCACGAACCTACTCGACGAGTAGGATGAATTTTCACTTGGACTCGTCGAGTCCCCCCATGGACTCGGCGAGTCCACTGTTCAGACAACAAACAATTTCGATTTTTAACACAATTTTGCATCAAGTATCAACAAACAAGCCTAGGCTCTGATACCACTGTTGGGTTTTGAGCATTCTAACACTTCCTAAGTGTACATGCAACCCTAATAAACCTTGGATCTATGTTTGTCTAAAATACATGAAAAATTTGTTTTCCAAGGTTTATAACTTATCTAGCATGGCATGGGGAACTTTTAAACATAAAAGAACTAGATGAATTGCATACCTTTGTTTGTGAATTGATTCCTTAGGAGTTTGAGAGCCAAGCACCAATAATGTGAATGCCTCAAATGGAAATCACAAATCACCACAAACTTGGAAAACTTATGAGAGAGTATATATATGCTCTAGAAATCGGCCACCTTTCTTCACACACACTAGGGTGTCATTTCATGCATCACAAGCTTGTTTATATAGTGCACATGATTAGGGTAAACCCTATTAACCCATGTCTTTTCCTTTCCAAGGATCCATGGGTTAATAGCTCCATGGATCATCCATGGACTCCCATATAAGCTTAGCCCATTACCATAATGAGTATTAGCCCACACTATATAAATATAATAGCCCATGTTTAATTACTCACCATTTGATCACTAAATTAATTCATAATTAATTTAAGACGAATACTAATTAAATAATACAATTTCATATTAATATATTATAACTTATAATATATTAATAAGCCGCAAATATACTCTTCTCATAATGTTATCCATATAAATAGTTCGGGTGAAGTGCAACCCAAATGGACCATGTCGGGTCGGGTCAAGTATATACCAAGTAAGTTATGGACTTAGACACCTTATCCAACAGTTTGGACCATTCTAATGGATAAATTTGGAAACTTTATCCATTATGGAGTTATTAGGAGCCATAAAAATGTGATCTTGGTCGTTTTATCCCTTCCAAGCAAGAGTCATGATATCTTAAAGGATTAATAATTTAGAGTTTTTGGTATTGCGCAATATAGCCATGCAAGATCATAAAGTTGGAAACTTTATGGTTAAGGACAACATTTGAGTACTAGATCTGGAATTCGGACAAAAGAGCTTAAAGGATTAAGCTCTTAATAAAAGGGAGAAGAGGTGCTCGCATACGTTGGGCGTACCAAATGGTAAGATGCGCGTATGCAGTCAACTCCCCGTTTTCTTGTCAAGTTCGAGTACGCCCCGCATACAGGCTGAGTACGCCCATCGTACTTAGCTGAGTTGACTCGGTTGACTTTTTTTTTGACTTTTTGACTTTGATCAGGGTTTCACCAAGTTTGACCTAAGGGTATTTTTGATATTTTGATTATAAGTTAAGTTAGGTCATGTTCGAATGGATAGGTGACCGGTAGAGCTGATAGTCGGAGCAATGTCCTATTCAGCAATCGTTTCAGACTGAGAGGTGAGTTTTCCTTACTGTACTTATGGGTTGAAGGCACCAATTCCGACCCACTAAGTTACGTATCATGGTATATAGGATGTTATTATGTTGTTGAGACATGTTACATCTATATCCTGGTATATAGGATGTTGTTATGAGGTAGTGATCTGTATATCTGCTTATTAGTCTGCTGAATGATTATGTGTTTATTTGTTGTGTATGTCGACATGGAATGGTTGGTTTGCGGCTGTACTAATGTGTTGCCATGCAACAAACCCAGGGAAATCCAATCGGTAGGTTGTGGGCCAAGGTAATCCAACCGGGAGGTTGTGGACCCAGTATGTAGTATGTATGGCAATCCAACCAGGAGGTTATGGGCCAGGGTAATCTAACCGAGAGGTTGTGGACCCAGTATGCGATATGTAGGGAAATCCAACCAGGAGGTTGTGCACTCATCATGCATGATTGTATATGTTATTCGTTTGTGTGGTGGTACTTTGGGAGAACTCACTAAGCTTTGTGCTTACAGTTTTCAGTTTCTTGTTCCATGCACTACAGATGATCGTGGCAAGGCGAAGGCGTGATCGTACGCATCCTTCAGATTTTATGTTATTGGATTTTGGGATACTCTGATTTTTGAATTATACTTTTGAAACAATGATTTTGTAAAAAATTATGGTCTTCGAAAGGTTTTTGAAAAAGTGAAAATTTTACTCTGATTTTTGGGATGTTACATTATCTTTAGGATGTCCTCGTATTAAATGTATAGTATACCCTAAGCTATCATACAGGTGGAATGTGTATCATGTAGACTAAGATATGTTGGATCTTAGATTCGTACAACAAGCAATAACAAAACAAGACATTGAAAAAGCGATGATTATAATTGTTAACCCTAGCACAACTTATATACTAGAGGATATACACGATATATTCACTACAAATCAGGGATTTAAAAAAAGCTATACAATGATAAGATCATCATCACTAAGATTACATATCTGATTCTTCGTGCATAAAGAACCCTTTACGTTGGCGTTGATAAACATATACAATGTTTGAGAGACTGTCAGATGATCAAAAGAAAGAACCAGTGAAAACAATCTATAATATTTTGAGACATATACATAAGTATCAAATGGAAGAAATGATCAGTAGGAGCATTGGGGATGTCACTTGAGTGCATGAAGCACATAGAACCATTTTCATCCCTGTAAAACATTCCATGGACTAGAGATATAATAAACATGTGCTCTTCAGGGTCAACTCCCACTGACAAGGAGCTGTCGATTACAAAAGAGCCAAAGGGCAGGAGATATGAAGCATGTTTGACCCTTCTTTGTCTTTTCTTTGAAGAAATAGAGGGGGATCCCTAGAGGAAGATGTTGGTGCAGATGCACTTGATGAAAAAAATTTGAGATCATTATTATAGTTATGGCCATTTTCAACTCATGGGCATGAATATCCCGATGTCCTTATATGATATTGGCAATCTCAAGCCACTTATTATATCCATACTTTACAATCTCAAGGAGAAGCACCTTCTCAGGTTATTCACCCTTGTCATCTTTCCTAGTGAGATGCACTATCAATATTTTCTAACCTTTGGGCTTAGTGCACATCACTTTTACAATTTGGCCATTGGAGAATCTCCTTGTATGTACATCAGTGTATTAGAACAAATTAATCTTTGTATTTATCTCCTCCAACTTTTTCTCCTCTGCACCCAGTGCATTGAACTGGAGAAATACTTCTTTCCGTTGATCAAGAGATCCTCCAGCAACAACCATTCTTCTGACAACCTACCATGCATATGAATGTTTTTATTTTTCATGACAAGATTATGTTCATTAACAAAAGCTTTCACTTTCTATTCAATCATTTTTCACTCCACATCCTTTTCTTTGATTGAGAAAAACATTTTCAAATGTTTATCTGCTTCAAGGGGAATGACAGATGTAGTAGCCTTTTTTCTTGAAAGATAGGAGATGGGTTGTTGATCCTCAGATTATTCGGAACTTGATGATTCAGGGTCCCCCTGATCAAATTGATCCCCCTCACCTTTAGATTCCTTTTCAGGCTGGTTGGGCAAGACAATAGAAATTGGCACATCGAAAATGGAATCACCAAGAAAAGATAAGTCATAAAGACCCTCCTCATCAATGTTTTCTTCCCCGTTTTCTTCTTCACTGTCATCAACAATTTCAATAGAGACATTATATGCTCATTCAGAAGACTCCCCTTGAGTTTCATTCTCCCGCTTTTTGCCATCATCACCATTAGGAGAAGATATATATATGATGTGGGGGGATATGAATTTGGTGGTGATGGTAATAGGTAGTTTCCTTATACCTCTCTTAGAGTGTGGCATCATGAATGAGGCGTACTAGAGATTCGAATGACTTTTAGTTATACATATAGTATTAAACTTTTATATATGTATAGGGTGTATTTTAAAACCTTGTAAAAACACAAGGTTTAAAATTAATTATCTAAATTAATCAATCAATTAATTAATCATTTAAACCAATTATGGATTCAATATTTATCCTTTTGATTAACCATTAATTGCATTTTATATTAAAATTCATCAAAGGATAATTCCATTTAATTATCTTGTAATTAAAAATTAGGTTTCCATATTTGCTTCCTTAAAATTCAAATAGGGTTTTTTGTTTATTTAATATTAAAAGGTTCGGTTTTTATCAGATAAAACAACATATAAATACTAAAAATTAACCTACAATTCAAATTAGGCCAGCCAAGACCAAAAAATTGAAAATCTCGAAAGACGCGTCGAGCCCTGGATTTTTTTTTCCATGTTTCATTTATTATGCACAATTAATTGTAAGACCACAGTCTGATATCTCTGATTGATTTTATAGGTTACAAATTCAATGTACATGTGGAAAAATCACTTAAACTCTTAAGAGTACATGCAACCTAAATGATCTATGTCTTTACACATTAATAGCAACATACTTATGAAACCTAAAACAAGAAACCCTATGATAGAAATCTACAAGTTTGATTACATACCTTTGATATTGTTATAGTAAAAATATCCTTGAATACCTTCTTGGTCTTTAGAAAGCTAGCACCAAAATATGGCTGCCTCTAATGGCTCACACCCAAAACCCTAGAAAACCTAGAATGAAGAGGAGAGAGGGGAGGGAGGGAAAAAGTTCGGCTATATGCCTCTTGGAAGAGTATCCCCAAAATTTGGCTCCCTTGGGGACATATTTATAATGTAGGTTGAATAATGAAATAATATTATTTTATCTATTCAAATATAACAATCCTTCTCATTTTACAAGTTTCAAGAATCATTAAAATACCTTGCAAAAACTGTCTGCCCCTACAGAATTTTAGAGTTTTCCTTCCTTGCTCAATTAAGAAAAATTACAATTCAACCATTGGATTTTTAATTAATTTTAGTTCACCCGAAATTAATTCTAGATTAATTCTGATTAATAATTAATTAATTTCAACCATTTCAAATTAATTTATGATTGATTATTAAACATTTCTAATTAATATATTAATCATATATCATATTAACAAATCATTTTATCTCTCTCCTAATATCAATTCTATATATTTCTAATTATGAGAACAACCCAAAAAGAACTTTACTTTTATTCACTAAAAATATATCAATTTAGTTAAGACCTTATACACCTAATCCAACATCAATAAGTGAAACCCTTAACACTTGCACGTCATAGGTATTTTTGAAGTCATGTAAATTCTCGAGTTATGATTTTTGAGTCTTGCTTATGAGATGTTTTGATTACATCATTTTTCACAGTGAGATGTTTCAAGAGATTATGCTTATGTTTGTATATATTTTCTTGATTGAACCTTATGTTACTTACTATGCATTTCAAGGCTAACATATTTTATTAGATGTGTCTCATATGTTAAAGGCTACAACAATTCACAGTCCCGAGACTTAGAGAATTTTGAGATATTTAGTATGATGGTAATTGTATAGAGAGTTCTATTACATTTAAACTAACCATCGAGCATTTTCTTACATTCAATGGCATGTTCACGATCAATTGTACTAGATATTACATTGATGATGCTATGTTTCAAATGGGTAATATTGGTACTCGGTGTAATAAATATGTTCTAGTAAATATCAATATTTTGATGTGGAAAGTAATGTTGAGTGTAATACTTGTTCCGAGAAGTAACATTTTTTAGTGTTACTCGATGTACTCGATGTAATACTTTTTCCAAGAAGTAACACTTTTGAGTGTTACACAAGTAATCAATCGGCAAAAACAATAAAATGTCACGAAGAATTAATGTTTTGGTCGAGGTGACCTCCATCCACGAGTAGGAACTGCTATTCCATTACTTAATTGTTTTCAAAGTGATGCATATAGGAATTCTTAGCTACAAATACTTATAACTGTAAACCCTAACAATTATAGGGTCAGGTATAACGACCCTCGACATACTCCAAACACTTATCTCCTTGAAATCGTCATTCGGGTTTCTTCACTTTGTTTCGGGATTGGATTATTCATTCAGGTCACCAAATTCCAAGTCACACTCTACGTTGAGAGGAATTTTCTTACGTCTTTTGATTGGTTCTCAAATAGAAATAGAATATTTAGATATTTTCTTTATAAGTTCCGTAGTTTCCATAATATATTTGAGTTATTTACTTGTAGTAAAAGTACGTTGCTATTGCCAATCCATTTACAAGACATATATGTTATAATTTTTGAAATATAAAATAATTAATATGATTGCAAGATGATATTATATCAATAATAAAAATAAATAAATAACTAAATAAAATTCACTTGAAGATGAGTTAAGTATTTAAAAAGACCTTGAGGAACCTTCGACCATTTGACATGTTTCCGTTTTAACTATTGCTTTATTTTTACCCATATAAATTAACAAAAAAAAGTGTAATTAAAATTAACTCGTTAACCTATAAAATAAGTCGAAAGTGCTACAATAAAAAAAAAACTTTACGTTAGTAAGACTATGAATTTAAGTGACACCGCACAACCAAATGTCAAAACAATCAAAATCTCGGAATACAGATGTAACCAAACATACCATATAATAACAAACACAGAACACACATTGATCCTTAACTTCAAATGAGATATAATTCCGATTGAACCTTTACTTATGCTTATACAACACACCTAAAACCATCAAAAACTCATAATACATATATAACTTGACATACAACCGATATCGAATCTATGATCCACTTTTATTTAGTTATTATATTTTGTTGGTGTCAAAAGTAGTAGTTAATTAAGAGGCCATTACTTGAATCTTCATGCCAGCGTCACAATGACCAGGGAAAGTGCAAATGAAGTTATTCAGACCCTTCACAAGCCTAATTTGGTCTTTTCCACTACTGTAGACTTTTGCATTTCTTGGAGTGTTGCTGCACCCTTTATACCCTGCCTTGTTCACTGCCACCACATTGTGTGCTCCTATCTTGTAGTTAAAGACTGACATGATCAAATGATAAACCCGTTATATATAACATATAAAATAAGACAACTAAAAAAAATGATAAATCAGTTATATATAAAATAAGACAATTAAAAAAAAACAATGTAATGTCAATGTGTCATCTTTATCTCCTAAAAGTTTGAACCCATAACCATATGTTCATATCTATATATTATTGTCAAATAAAAACGTTAAATGTGTCACTACTACAAACATATGCATGATGTCCACTTCGAAAAAAAAAAGACCCTGAATAAAACCGACAATATTAAGAGAATTCGATAGTGTTTGGTTTTACAAGTTGGGTCCGATAAGACGTATATAATGGTGTCTGGTTCTTGTTAAGGAAGTGGACACCATAAAATTCAAAAAGAATAATACAAGTGTTTGATAGTATGTTAAGAGGGTACCAAGAATGTCTCCAGCCTTGAAATTCTTGCCACGTGGCCAGTTGGAGAGGCCGAAGGTCCAACCGCTTCGACCACCTACAACATAAGTGGCGGCCTGAGCCACCTCACAATGAAGTGACACCAACATGAAGCTGAGCACCACCGCTGCCACCATTGCACTGCCTCTTCCCTCCGCCATGGTTAAGTCAAAATAAAGAAAGTGTTGGAGGAATGGTGTTTTAATGACTTTTGTATTTGTTTGTGGGAAGTAGGGATGGATATGCATCCTATTTATAGGAAAATTTTACTTGCTCTTTTAGAGGATATATTATTATTTAACTTCGAGTTGCTTTGGAAAAAAATACAAAAGTTTCTGAATTCTTTTGAAAATGTATTGATTTTCTTATTAACATTTGTCAAAAGATGTTATTTGGAAAAATATATTTATTTATTTGCTAAACTCTTATAGCTATAATTATATTTTTTGCAAATATCATCCGAAGAACTATTTAATACCGTTGAGTATAATTCATGTTTATATTATTTATCGTGCTCTTGTTACAAATCGTACTCTCACAAAACATTCCAAATGTGTGATATATTAGGTGATATGAACATAATTAGTATGAACTATGAACATCACAAAAGTTGATAAATGAAAAAAAAATTACTCCAACTGATAGAAATAGTTCTGAAATATTTTAGAATCATTCCAAGTAATAATCAATATCAAATTTTTAATATTTTATTTATTTTTTTATTTTTTTGAACGGCCGGTTAGTGGTTGGAAGTTAACCAAGCTAGTTAATTTGTATTATTATTATTATTATTATTATTATTATTATTATTTCTTGATAATATAATACAATTTTGACATTATATCTCTTGTTCATGGGATTTATATAAAATACTTGTTTCACATAAACTAAACAAATATATGTCTGTCCATAAACAAATGTTATCAACTTATGAAAAAGAGTTGATTGGTAAATAATAATTTTTTTATACATAATAATTTGTATTGTAAATTGTATTTTACAATTTTATATAACATAGATTATTACATATGAATAAAAAAAAAATAACTATTATGTATGAACAATTCAAACAGAAGTTAAATCTACATCTTCAATATAGTAAAATTAACATGTTACTAGTCTCTACAAAACATCTCAACGCATTTACATCAAAATATTTATTATTATTATTATATCATATGCCAGAAATTTAATGAACGTTTATCATCTTATTCCTGGAGCCCTTTAACTTCAACGCGTAGAGCCCAATGTGTGTCTACTTATTCTGCGTTATTGATTTTGCGGGGACAAATTTGAAAGAAGATACGGTAGTTTTTATATGTAAACTGCCCCTTTTCGTTTGGTCCAAGCATACATTTATTACTAATGCATTAATAATTTAATAGAGATTATCAAATTAATTTTTAAATTAAAGTTATATATCTGTTTTCTAGTAGAAAGTATAAAATAAAATAAGAAGAAGAAAAATAAGTCAAAAATATTGTTGTTTTTTTAGAATTAGGAATCAATCCCCAAACATACGGCAGAAATAGTAAAAGAAAAAGTTGTGTGGTCAAATGATATGGGACCCAGTGACTTAAGTTTTGTGGAACGAAGTAAATGGGTTTGGTAGGATTCATATGAAAATAAAGACACGAATTTGAGTTATAGTATATACTTTTAAAGATATGAAGATTTTAAAAAATAAAATTTTACCGTATTTGTTTGATATATATAATTTAATAATATTGGGATTGTGTTTACATTTGTATAGCATAGAGGCTTGTGTTATTTTCTGTAACCCTTTTTCAAGGGCGCCATAAAAACATTTATTTATACGATATTATTTTGTTTTGATTTTAATTTTTTTTATGTTATTATATTTTGAAAAACCTTTTATATTTTATTCATTGTCTAGTCACCATGTTAAGATGACAATGTCAGTTTAGTGGAAAAAAAAATATATTCTAATTTGCATTTAACCAAATATTTACGTCTTAATTTACGTCTAGACCTTTTTTTTGTTTCTCATTTTTCATTCTTTTTATGAAAGTCTTACTTTCTTTAACCATTGGTGGGTTTCCATCCAAAGCCAAAATTCATTCCATGTCAAGGGCTTGGTAACCCGATCTAATATATTTATTTCTAAAACCTTCATTTAAGCCTTATCAATCACTATGTTTGCCTTACACCTTTTTCATCCAAAGCCATTTTGGTATTTATCATGTCTTGAGCATCTTGTATAAATGTTCTGTCTTTGGTCATTATGTTGCTGATTTTAGTGTAATTTCGTATTTTGTGTAATTGGAGCTGACATGTGAGCTAAGAATCTTATCGTTTGTACTTTAATTGGTGAATGCGGAGTGCATGCATATATAAGATCGAATTATAAGCCGGTACAACAGAAAGGTGGTACCGCTGACCGGTCAGCGGGTAGGGTCGAGGGGAGTGCCCCTGCAGGGTTTAGGGCAGCGCCCCAAAAGGTCTTCGAAAATTTGAATTAGTTACATTATGGAAAATCCGAATTCTAGTGGGTAATTATGGTAAAATTGACAAATCTCGTCAATTTTTGTAACCATTAATTATGTCATTAATTTTGAGATTTGTATAACTAATTTAGAAGATTGGAAAACCCGAATTCTAGTGGGTAATTATGGTAAAATTGACAAATCTCGTTAATTTTGGGAAACATTGATTATGCAATTTCGAGATTTGTATAACTAGAAGATTTACCCTAATTTGTCAAGTATAAAATACGGCTCCTTTTTTTAGTTGTATAGAGATAACCTTTCTTGAGCTTTTCTTCTTCTATACGAACTCAGAAACCTCTGGCGATTTGGCTTGTGTTTCTGTGTCTAGGTATACCAAGTGTCCTTTTGGATTATCCTAGACTGGATTTCCTGTAACCCAGGCATAGGGTGGAAATATCAGGTCGGAAAGTGAACTTACACGATCCAAGAGAAATCTGGTTCTCCACCATCACCCTACTTAAATAATCTCCAACAATCGAACTGATATTCTCGTCTGGTGGAGATAGCAAAATTAATCCGCGAGTTGACCTCCAAGTTCACAAAACTAGAAAATTTTGAAGGCAATGATTTCAGGCGCCAGCAAAAGAAAATGTTGTTCATGCTGACCACGTTGAAGGCTACGTATGTGGTAAGTACTTCGAGGCCAGAAGTGGTGGAGAATGAGACATTAGAAGAAACCAGAAGGAGGAGCAAGTGGGACAACGATGACTACATCTGCAGAAGACACATTCTGAATGGTATGGCTGATTCTTTATTTTATATCCATTCTGAGGCTAAAAGTGCAAAGGAGTTGTGGGACACTCTTGTATCAAAATACATGGATGAGGATGCTTCTAGCAAGAAGTTTCTGGTCAGTGATTTTAATAACTATAAAATGGTTGATTCAAGATTTGGCATGGAACAATACAACGAACTCCTTCGCATTTTGTGTCAATTCAAACTATACAAGATGAATATGGATGAAACCATTGTTGTGTTGAGTGTAATTGACAAACTTTCACCATCATAGAAAGACTTCAAACATAATTTGAAACATCAAAAGGAGGAATTGTCCATGGTTCAACTTAGTAGTCATTTGCGCATTGAAGAATGCCTTTGTGCGCAAGCGAGTGACAAAAACAAAAGTAAAGTTGAATCAGGACAGCCCTCAGCTCATATGGCTGAAAACAAACCAAGAAATCCAAACAACAAAGCACATAGCAAACGCAAGCAGGAATATGTCCCAAATAACTCCAACAAAAAGAAAAAGAAACTGGTTTGTTAGAGGTGTTTAAGGTTAGGACATCGCAAGCGTGATTGTCGTGTGAATCTGGGCAATAATGGTACTGGAAATAGTGGAGCCAATGGAAGTGGAAACGGTTCCAAGGACCAAGTAAAAGGAGGTTAGTTTTTTACCAACTTTGATAATTCTAATCAGAATTATGTTTATCATGTTTCCTTTATTCCCGAATCACTCTATGTACAGTATGATGATGTTGCTTGGTGGATCGACTTGGGTGCAACAAACCTTGTATGCAAAGATAAACAGATGTTTGAAACATTAACACCGCTTGAAGATGGATTTGTGGTGCACATGAGAGACGATTCTTTTAAACCTATTTGTGGTGTCGGTGTCGTTTGTTTAGAATTTACTTCTGGAAAGACAATTAAGCTTTTTGATGTTTTGTTTGTTCCCAAGATTTGAAAGAATCTTGTTAGTGGTAGTTGTTTTAAACAAGTTTATGAATCAGATAGGTATATCCTATCTCAAGGTGGAATGTTTATTGGCTTTGGATATTTGAATAAAAGAATGTTTCATTTGAATGTTATTGATAAAATGACATCTATTTAAAATTTTGCTTTTGCGTCATCGTCTTCTTCTAAAATTGATAACTTCATGATTTGACATGCTATATTGGGTCATGCCAATTTTAGAAGGATGTGTGAAATGTCAAAATATGACCCTTTGACATAAATCTGGAAAAATGTAAAACATGCATGCTTACAAAAGTTACAAAACAGCCATTTCCAAGTGTTTCTAGAAAGTTGGCTATTTTGGAGCTTGTATAAAGTAACCTGTGTGATTTCCACTCTACTCCATCTTTGGGAAATAAAAGTATTTGGTCATATTCATTGATGACTGTACTCGGTTTTGCTATGTGTATTTGCTTAATGCTAAAAATGAAACATTGGAAAAGTTTAAAATATACAAAATCGAGGTGGAATTACAATTGGGCAATCCGGTTGAATGTCTTAGAACTGATCGGGGAGGTGAATATAGATACCATATAGTTCCAGTTAATGGGTATCATTCATGAAACCACAACATCATACTCGCCCCAACAAAATGGAATCGTCGAACACAAAAATCGGGTTTTAAAGGAAATGGTAAACTCGATGCTTTCTTACTTGAGATTGAGTGAGGAATTCTGGGGAGAGGCCATGTTAACAACCTGCTATTTTCTGAATAGGGTTCCAAACAAAAGGAACAAAACAGTCCCATATGAACTTTGGTTCAAGAAAAAATCAAATTTGAGCTATTTTCAGGTTTGAGGATGACGAGCAGTTGTAAAACTCATCAAGCCCAAAAGGAAAACTTTGGGAGAACATAGAATAGATTGCATATTCATTAGATATGTTGAACATTACAAGGCATATTGGTTCTATGTAATAGAACCTAATGATTCGGTACCGATTAACACCATTATCGAGTCACGGGATGCAATTTTTGATGAGA